GTCATGTCAAAAAGTTGCCTGTGGCTTGGGCTGTTACAATTGGCAAACTGCTGTCATGAGACATAGTCATGTCAAAAAGTTGCCTGTGGATTGGGCTGTTGTCATTTGCAAACTGCTGTCACGAGCCATGGTCATAGTCTAAAACTTACACCTGAGATGATGTCTTTGAAATTGCCTCTTTAATTCTTGACTTCACCGACAAGCTGCGAGTTCATCCATAGATTAACCATTTAGCAGCACATGTTTTGAGCCAGAGTTCTAAAAGTTCAGAGACAAAGCTGTGGAACTAGCTTTGGGAAATCCATTGGAGAAAAGATTTTTTCTTCCACCAAGGGTATGGGTTGTTAAAAATGTTAACAAAATGATCAGTAATTATTCTGCTGGCTTCTTAAATGTAAGGGTTTAGTTTGATATAATGGAGCATCTTAGCAGAAACAAAATTGCTCAGGAACTTTTTACCTGCTTAGTAGGAATTGGCTGTGAACCAGTTACCATGGTTACTGGAACAAAACATCACAGAACATTTTGCTATGGATTCCTCTTTTTCTGCTGTGCTAACATTGGTCCCACTATAGACGCATTGAAGAAATAAAGAATATGTAAGTAAAATAGTCAACAGAAATAGTCATGTTTCTGGCTAGAGTTCCTGAAACTGAACAGTTGTTTGGAAGCAGCTTCAAAAGGTGTGTCGCAAAGGGCCTATATTGTGTACCCGTACATTTGTCTTAGCAGCATTTGCTGCTGCGTGCAATGAACTTGTTAATTGAGAGATACTGTCACTCCTCTAAACCGGCTGGATTGCAGGATAAGGCAAAAGATATTTTTGTGCTACACTTGCAAAATGTTGACGGCAAAGGTAAAGTACTAATGTACAAAATGAAGAAAAGTTACATTGCCCACAATAAATAAATTTGAAGTTTGCAGAGAGAAAACGTGCCCCAAATGGATAAGATACAATGAAGTTTTCATCATGCACATTAATACTTTGTAAGGTGGTGTTCAGCCCAAGCCCCCTTCCTTCCCACTTTCCAAAGTTCCAAAGTATCCAGAAAATTCGAGCATTTTTCACAAGTGTCCATGATGGTCAAAGGGCACAGACACACTGCCCAAAGGATGGGTTTTATGTTGCACACAAATAACTTTGTTGAATTTGACATATGCAAAGTTCCATTTAAATGAAGGTGTCAATGTTGGACAAACTTGGCTACGTACCCCAACCTGTAGAATCTAGGCCACACTTACGCAAGCGCATCGTTATTTTAATAAAGTTTGTATAAATAAATCATAATTTGTTTAAAAATCACATGCTAAAGACAAAGAGGTTTGTTCCTTTTGTGATGGATCCTTTCAACTCGAGACGCCAGAAACAGACCTGCAGCATTATGTCACGCTGTGTTTTATATCTGCACTTTCCTATGGCATTGAGGTGGACAGGAACAAACGAGCCTCCATAGGAAAACGCACATGTAAACATAGTGTGATGTCATTATTTTTGATGTCTATTGTGGGTTCAAGTCCCAGTAGAAGTTCTGACAAGTAGAGTTTCATACCAGACCCACTAACTGGGACGTTAGCACTCTTTTTCAAATGTCGGACTTGATCATACATTGTACAATGATCAAGTCCATAATTTGAAAAAAGAATATGATGCCCCAGTTAGTGGGTCTGTTTTCATACCAACAACTGGTTATTATACCAATGGCCTGCTGGTTGGACACAGGTCTTCTGCCACTGAGACACCTGCTTCAAATCCCAGAGTATTTTATTGTCGTATCTTTTAGATAAATATTAGAGATGAACATATCTGACTGGGGGCCTAGACTCAGTTACCCAGTAGAGGTGTCATCCATGGTGCGAGTGGTCCCTGGTTCCAATCCTGACTGGGACAAAGAAACCTGTGGAGGGTCAGAGATCCATCTGAGGAACTAGATAAAGTGAAATGAACTTTTGGAGAAACAAGAAAAACATGTATACATGGTATAAGAGTATGAATGAGGTGTATTGGAAATTCCAAGAATTACAAATACATGCACATCAGAACTTGCATATTTTACATTACGCGATTTTTATTCACCTTGTTAATTTCACCTTAACATAGGCATTTCAAAAATAGTAACTCCCTCATTGGTTTTGATCTGGTCATCACTTAAATACGGTGTGATCAAAAGGCATGAACAATTGGGGCCCTTACAATGGTGCATTTTACAGTGGAGATAAGGTACTTGTTTCCAAGAACACTTTTCTGCATACAACTGTACAAAACACCAACTTGAAAACAGTTATTTCTCATTGAAAATCAGGCAGAATAGTCATTTTGAAGTGATTTTATCTACTGTCGAATGACGTTTTCATTTTTTCCCTTCTCTGAATGCTTACATGTATGTTTCAAGTCAACCCTACTGGTACATTCTTTTTGTGTGTACATCTTCCAAAATCTGATACAGGTATATTTTTACGGTCACGAGATAATAAAAACTCTCCCTATTGTGAGATTTCCCTTTTCTTACTCATCACTCAATGAATTTCGGTCTTGTGAAAAAGAAATACTACTTTACAAATTAAGAGGACTTTTCCCTCCATTTTCATAATTGCAATGGTATGTTATAAAAACTAAATTATGCCAGAAAAGGAAAGAATTGTACATCTTGGTATTTATCAAAATAAGCACTCTTACAAATTCTATTCACAATACAAAAGAGCTTCAAATTTAAACATTTCACATTGTCAAACTGCAGAGCTGTAGAGTTGGAAAAGAACCTGGAATGCAGGAATGAAATTATGGTAACAAGATCTGATTTCCCAAATTTGTCGAGAATCAAGGACAGTGATCTACACAATGCATCTATAGATACCATTTCCCATGTCTGCTTGTAATAATTTAGTGCAGGTGTTTCAAAAGTTCTTCAGAACTGGTGACAAATAAAAGACATCCCTCCCCCGGATAAGAGGTGCAGGCAAGGTAGAACTATTGTGATTGGTTGGGACTGGTAAGTACATGTACATGTATTCTGATCTTATTGGTTACCAGCAGTCACAGCACTGGCTCTTGCAACTCCAGAGCAAAATTTCAAGTGTGGTTGCACTCGATATCTCCTACTCACTTTTTCGAAGCATTTCCCTAAATTTCCAAAGTTCTGGTAATGATGAGTAAACAGATGACTGTTTTCATTACTCATAGTTTGCAGAGCCTGATGTGCATTGTATGTGGATAAACTGCCCGATTTGTTTGTCCTCCAACTCCAGCAAACGCTGTTAAATCATTGTTGACTGTGTAAGTTATAAATTCTGTGAATCTTACTCTACATTTCATGCACTCTTGATAAAAATACCATTAATATTAAAAATCTCATATCTGGTACAATCAACAAACTAATGTCAGTTGTCATTAAGGAACTCAAACACATTTTTTTTAAATAGTCAGACAGCCTGGTCTGGTTCCCTGACCTAATGGTTCCATGACTTCTTTGTCAGGTAGCCACCATCCTCAACCCCCCCCCCAAAAAATTGCAAGATCAGCAAAGCACAAGGCAGGAATAATGTTGAGTACATTTCAAACCTAGTTACTCAATGCTGAATGTTGAAAATTCATTTGAAAAACTGGCAATTACCAGAACTGGGAGTCACCTGACACTGGTGGCTGGCTACCTGAGTGATATTTAGTTTGTCAGAATCTTTAGGGCAGGGAGCTAGTCCTCAGAAAGCCGACAAATTGCGCAAAGGAAGCAAATTTTCAAGCACCATCTTTTATCAACCTAACAACCTTCCAACGTTATTCATCCGCCACCTTTTATATCCCATCCTTATACACAGCCAGATGAAGGCAGGACACCCATTTGCCACCATTTGCAGCTTCACTCGTTTTTAAACAGCTTTCTCAGAAAATGAAGAGTTCAAAGAATCAGTTTTGCCTGGAAATCTCAGGCCCCCCTTTTAAAACATGCCTTAAACCAATTTGGTCCCATGCTCAAAATTTGATTACTCTTCACAGCTGTACACTGTAAATGCATTCTTTTTTTCATATGCTACCGGTACAATTTACATGTATGCTTACTTCCAGGACAAACAGGTCCTACGAGTACACTCTCACTTTGGGGAAATTTGCAATGTATACATGTATGTAGATATGTTTTCTCCTCTGAGAAACTATTTTTAAACAAGATGCTCATTGCTGTCAGAGAAACAATGCAGGGGGGGGGGAACTTTCCCAATAGGGTCCAAGCAAAAGATGTATATTTATGATGTGACCACACCGATCAATCAGCTTTGCAGCAGAGAAGCATCTGGTTAGTAAATGTGCATTGTAAACTAGACAGTGAGGCTTACATGTAGGTTTGCCCAAGATACAGTAACTGTGAACACTTTACCAAAAGATACATAAACATGTATAATAATCACCACCTGCTGACATGCCCTACTCCTTCCTGAGGTTAGGCATTACTGGACAGTAGATTTAAATGAACTGAAGGCTTATTTAAAATACCTTTTAATCTATTGTGTTGTAATGCCTGACCTCAGGAAGGAGTACGACTAGATTGGCAGGTCTGCACATGTGCTGTGTAGGGTTGTCATTATCACGCTGATTTGGGCACAGGCTGCGTGATTTTGCCCCACTCTGGTCATATACATGTACGTCTAAAAGCTTAAAGATTTCCATACAGCCTAAACACTGTGTACGGTGCTGCAGTTTTTGCCAACAACAGTGGTGGGTGGACATACGGCAGGTCAGATGGTTCATTGAAAGGCCCCCATGTATGTACTGTAAAACAAATGCAAGCAATACCCATGACATCAACTGTTTCAACTCCAAACGTTATGGTATTCATCTTTAACATGACCAAGATACGTTAAGGTAGACTGTCCATCCCAGAAAGGTGCCTTGAACATGTTGAATTTCACCCCTTGAGTTGACATGTATAAATGTACCCTCCACAATAACATCTGATATGAATATACTGGGTATCACATACAAGTACAGGTAACCAGTCTTTTCTAAATTTGTACAATTTAGGTCTTCTGCAGACTACATACCGGTAAATGTGAATAATTATTAATATTTGTGTGATTAGGCACTGCCTGGTTATCTACGTGTATTGGGTTTGTTGTGGTCCATCCTTTTCTTCCCTTTTTGGGGCGGGGGGGAGGAAGGATAATGTAATTCTTTGCAGCTTTTCTCTAATACATTGGACGTACACCGACTTGAAAACTGAAACGACCATCAACCATGATCTCTAGACTTGCATGCAAGTGTGATGTCACAATGATGCCATCCAATACAGTACAAGTGATTTAAGTTGCCCCCCAAAACCCAACTTCTATCACCTACATGTACATGTTTATCCCATGAACTTAAGTTATACAGATATGATGCTCATATTTTGGGATCTGATAGATATTGAGTTGGGCAACAATGTTATATGAAGATGTCAAAGTTGTCTGACCTTTGTTTCCGGGGTTAACGTTAATAAAGGGTCAATATTCAGGTACACTTATTGGTTTGAATGCTTAGAAAAACAGTAAATCAACACAACGGTCAATATCTTCCAAACAGTGGAATCTCATTCTAACAAACCTTGATGTTGAAATACAGATACACAGGCATATCTGCTCTCATAAAGTCACTGTGACATCATCTGGTATCAGATTACAAGCAATGCAAGATCAAACTTCAAAGAAATGAACGAGGTAGCAGATTCCTATCTAGCCTGGTAGACCGTAATTTGGGCAGCATTAGTGATGGCAAATTGGCAATGGTACATGTAAATGTGAACTTAACTTCACGGGTAACTGAAGTGCAATAAGATGGGATTAAAACCAGAAACAGAACGCTTTCTTGACACACGACCTAATTACTAAAATGTTAAGAGCTAGCTGTATACTGAGCACTGTACAAGGACTGCTGATAACATGAAAGGGCACCCACTTGTGAAACATAACAGACAATTACAATTTACATTTGAGAATTGTTTGCTATATTTTAATGGAAGTGGACAAATAGCTCTCGTTAGACACAACTTATTGTGTGAAAGTTTCAAAATAATGATGCAATTATCCTAGAAGTTATAAAGGGGACAATTCTGAGATGATAGGTTTCTTCTTGATGTGACTTCGTCATTTAATATACAGGTGCTTCTTGCCCAGAGTAACGAGATGAGATGGATTTCTGATGACGTGTCCAAATTCTGTCACGTCATCACACTGGAAATTGATATAGTTCAATCATCCCAAGTTTGTAACTACAACAAACATGCCCCGTCTAGTTAGTATTAGCTGTGAAGGGATGGAAAAACTCTGTTTTCAGTGATGTCAGATATGTTGAAAAATGAAGAGGGTAATTGTTTGTATTTTAAGAAGGAATTCAGCACACCAACTGAGCTTACTGAAAAATTAGCCTACAAGAACCGATAAATTTTCTGGAAGACTTCCTAAATACGGTAACTAAACAAAGTTGGTTTCATCTTGAGAAAATAAATTTTGTTTAACTCTTTAAGTGGAACCTACCGGTACCTTTGGAAATCAGTCTTTTAGTGTGACTTTTTAACAACCCATCTAAAACCGTAATGCAACTAAAAGAGGTTAGTTTGGGAACCAACAAAAATCAGGTTTTTCATAACTCATTTACTACTCAAGTCAACATCATAAATTACAAAAAACAACTCCAACAAGGTGCATTTCCTTACATTCCCAAGGATGTAAACTGCTTTAGATTTTAAATACATTTCTTATTAAACCAAGATACTGGAGTAACACCTGAAAAACTTCCAAACATTTCTTCAGTTACATGTACCCGATGCTCTCTTAATACAGGAAGTGAAGAAGTTAAAAACTTGCTCAGCAATGTTACAAGTTTATCCATGGAATAATTTGGGCCTAAATAACCACAGATAGGATGCAATGGCATAATGCTTGTATGCACTATGCATATGCAAACTCTGGCATATATTCACATATTCATGCTAATAATAAATTTGCATAGAAACTTGATGCTGGCACCGCATGCAGTAGCTGTGACTTTGGCACTGTGAGATGCAGTGGAAAACGAATCGCGCCAACTGTCACAGCCCCAGTAGTTATTCCAGCTGCTAGGGGAAATAAGGCCTGGCTAAAGGTAATAGTTACCTGTTGGTGGGAGGGGCTAAAGGTGGGGAGGAAGGAACGGAGGTGGCCTGGCTGTCAGCAGCATGACCCTTTGCTACCATTTGCCCCTTCTTGGGTGGGGTCTAATGTCAGCTTGTCTGCATCAATATCCTTGTCATCGTGGCTGATGGATTTGTCATTGGCAAGGATCTGAGATGAGAAAAGAAAACGCAACAGTAAAATGAGAATTGTGCTCTCTTTCCAGCTTTATTTATACGGTGATCTGCAGATTCCAATCCCATGAGGTTTTGACAAATTAACAGCCAATATATTGACCAATAAGTCTTGCATGCATGGATGACGAAGCACATACAGTGTACCGTACGTGCGTCTGGAACACACAGTGCAACATGGGACGGGCACACCAGTTGTTGTCTACATGTACGTGCGCAGACTCAGAGGGAGGGTCTACATGAACTGGGAAGGGCTAAACATACCGAGGTGACGAGGAATCTGGCACTCTCGTCAATGTTGATGTTCTCTTTGGCAGAGGTTTCGTACCAGCCGATGAAACCCTTGTCTTTGCAGTACTCATCCATCTGTGCACTGTTGTTGACCAACCCTTCCTTCGCTTGGTCACACTATGAATAAAACATGGCAGATCAAAGGTCAGAAGTAAGACCAAAGAGAAAGCTGATGTTGGGCTCAGGGTCAACTTGCAGAGCAGACAATGTGATGTGTTGATGACAGATCACAGAACACTTGCCAAATTGTAGGGAAAAGTAAGAGGTACCAGTAAGTTTTGCCCGCCTGCTCAGATGAAAAGTTAAAGTGTGGCTGCAATGAATTTTTCTTAGGCCAAAAAAAAAAGGCTCCGGTTTCTGGTCAACGCACACGTCGCCGCAGACCTGCGCGTCGGCAAAATAAAGAAGTTTTTTATTTTCAATAAAACGCTTTCCAACAGCCACCAAACTTACATGTACTTAATAGGTAGGAATTCTGCTACCACATAATTTTAACGGGTTTTTTGATGGGTGGGGTTGAGTAATACCGTACATATATATGGTGAAGGAATCCCCCTAGGCCTCCATACATTTCAGTCGGGCACTCTTAACAGATGACGTCATTCATGTATCTTTACATGAAGGCCATGTCCGAATCAGTTGGCTGTGGCTTGATTCTACTACTAAGTGTACATGCACATGTATGTGCATGTACATCAATTCTACAGGAAAAAAAGGTGGGGGGGGGAAACCGTGTCACCGCACCACTTTTGGACCAAGCCCATGACCAGAAAGCGGAGTCTTTGGGGGGGGGACCTTAGACACAATTTTTATGCAACTTTGTACCTGTCTTGTACACAAACTCTTTCACATGCATATTTGGTTAAGCGCATTGAAAAGTGCATGTTTTTTAAACGATTAAAATTATCCATGCTTTCCCAGACAACTGAGGGCGCTGTTGCCATGGTGCCATATAGGGAAGACATGTATGTACATGTACATGTAGTTCAGTGCATACATGTATGTAGGTTTTTCTGTTCAAATTGTGAACCCAGAATATACTAACTTCTAACATTTGTGAAAGAGGGATTCATGCTTGCTTGTTACTGCATGTATAAATTGTACATGTACATAAACAGCAATGAATTAGCATAGAAGGGAAAATGCTGTCAAGCAAAACCTACAAATATGCAGGACTTTTTCGTGTACAAACAAATGTGACATTGAGGCTTAATTTCTTCCTGGGATGACATCACAGGTTTGTCATTGCCATAAAAATCCAAAAAGGCAGTAAAATACCCTTTGAAATAGTTTGAAATAGTGAAACAAATGTTGAAAACAAGGCTACACTGTAACTGAGGCACAAAGGTGTATTTTGAAGGTTTATATTAAAACAAATTAATTGCTACTACCCTTTAAATATAAAATTTGGAAAAGAGTCTGAAATCATTACCAGAAAGAGCATCAGGAATTTTGCAGCAATGATCTCATTTTCAAATGCTCCAGGTACATGTACATTGTATACATAATATGTACAGTATACATGTGTTTCTCAGTGCCCTGACTAAGTGAAATCATATACACTGTACATGTACACGTAGAGCCTGGCCAGCAAGATGACCGCCATGGAGTACATGTACATGTACACGTAGAGCCTGGCCAGCAAGATGACCGCCATGGAGTACATGTACATGTATCAAAATATACTTTATATACGATACAGCCAGTTTTCTATAGTTTTGGATCACGAAAGTTATTCAGTTGGATTATTTGAAAAACGTCAAATTTCAGTGAAACTGGCCAGTAGTCCACCGTGTGTGTTTGGACACTACAAAACTTTTTTCAAATGAAAGCTTTGAACATGTTGAATTCAAACTCACAGGATCGACTGAAGTGACAACGATGCTTTTCCTGCTGGTTCTAACGTTAGATTGGTTTTACGCAATTCTGGATTGGGCGAGAAACTTTTTCCTCCCCAAAAAGTAACCACGAAAGAAATCCATTCCTTAGCCAGAACCATTAGAACAAGCTGATTTTCATATGAATAAATTTAGGGAGAGTTAGTTCATGTATCAGGATTCCAGGAAATTAAAAAAACACCCATTGAACTTGCATAAATTTTAACTTGACTTTTTCAGTTGCCCACATCAACAACAGACGCAGTGCTGCAACCAAGCAATCGCGAAATTACAACCACCCCAGCTTTTTCATCCCAACCACCAATCATGAATCTGAACAACTATATTGCATATTCATTTCAACACAGCTCCCACAAATGCAAAGTTACAGTCCTTACATGTCATATGACATGCATATTTATGAAGTTGACATGGGTGCATGCAGCCGGTGCATGCATGTGCAGACCCGACTTCCTTTCATTTCAGTATGATCTCTGCTTTACACTGTAGGGTCGTAATTTTGTCACAATCTGAGCAATTTCTTTGGTAGATTTTTCAGTTTGAGGGTCGAATTTATATTTACGCTATTTTGAACACAATGAGCTTGACTACGACGAGTACAGAAACAACTTTCTATGCATATTCTAGGATTGCCACCGTGGGGGCCGTCCTGACTAAAATTTGGCTGGTGGACCGGCGAGGTCAAACCCTGTTTATATTAAGTGGATTTCTTATAAAATAATTTTCTCTAAATTAGGAAATGCTTTGTCATAAAAACTGCTAGTTATACATGTAGTTGTCTTGGTTGAAAAATTGATTTCACACTTGAATATTTTCAGTGCCTGATTCAGAAGTTTTGGACGATTCAGACAAGAAACCAAAAGTGTCATCTGCATGGCACTTCCATCCTGTATGGCCAAACTAAATGCTTTATCGTCGAAAATGATTTTGTGATGCCTGCTACCGGTACATACATGAACATGTACAAGGTAAACTAATGACCACATTTCCCTGAAATTTGACGGTAACTTGAACTGCAGTCAAACTCAAACTTTTGTTATGGGAAACAAGGAAAATGACTGCTCTGGTCAACCATAAAGCTCCATGGGTCAACAAAGGCTTGGCTGTTCTGGGGTTTGCGTGTAGCGTGTGCATTTTATACTCGGCAGATCGGATTGCGGTGTCAGTGTTCTCTGTTATGCAGGGGTCAGTGTGTTTCGTGTTTTTTTGGGTTGGTTTGAATTCTTTTCCTTCCTTTCCCCGGACTTGATACATGCTGACACGCTAAGTATGTCTGCGTGTCAGCTAAGTCTGGCCTGTACTGTAATGCAAAGGAATTTAAAAGTTGATGAGATACTTGTAAAAAGATGGGAAGTATCTCACTGCTTTTCTGAAGGTTATGATGATGCCTTTTAAAAACATTTCTAGTCTGTTTCGCTTTCAACCACTCAACCTATCGGTAAATGCTCAAGGGGTAAAAAATCTAATTTGCACAATTTTGCAAATGTAGCCAGAAACATTTTGCCAGCTTAAGGATGTCAATCATGCCAATGTCTGGTTTTATTGTACTTACACTGCTAAGCAACCATATTTTTGCTTTTGGTTAATAATTATGAAACTGAAGACTAACCTTATTGGCTAGTAATACCACAGGTATGTTACTTCCATTGGCCAGTTGCACTTTACTGTCCAAGTCGTGCTTCCACTTCGCAACAGCCTCAAATGTTGACACTCTTGTCACGTCGAAGACAATAAATGCCCCAACTGCCTCCTTGTAGTACACTCGCGTCATGTTGCCAAACCTCTCCTGGCCTGCCCAAAGGTTAAAGGTCAAGGGTTACAAAGCCTTCAAATAGTGTTAATAGTATGTGGGAATTTGTGAAGGTCATAGTAGGTGAAATTTTGGCCATGGGTGAGACACTATGTGGTCATTTACAAAGAAATATACATGTATGTTCATGTATGAACAAGAGCGGGTGTATCCGCAGTCCAAAGAACAAGTGAAAGTGTAGTCAACAACAGTACATGTACATGTACATGTATTTGTTTTCAGTAAGTCTCTCTCCACAGCATGTTTAGGCCTACAGTGTACACGTATGTACAGCCTTTTATTTGTACATGTTGTAGCTACGGGTACTTCCTAATTACACATGTTTATGTCTAGTGTACTTTTATTAGAGGTTTACTTTGTTTATGTACATGCACATTGTATGACACAAGACATCCATGAAACCATGTCTGAAATGTGAAAAACAAGTAAAGGAATTTTCTACAAATCATAGGCCCTTGATACATGCAAGATTAAAAACTGAAAATGGTTTTAAAAATTCAGGCACTGCACATGTACATGTACTGTAGTTCAACATGTTGAGTTTGGAAATGGCTTCGATGCAAGTGTACACATGGACCTACAACCCTGTACAAGTCAAAGTAATCTGCCAAATGCTGAAAACTTTTGCTTAGCCATTATGAGGTTACCAGTCAAAGTGCCACTGCCATGCAATGCTATACTGCTTGCCACCAGTTCCCACCAGATTTTCGCTTTAACCACTTCCTGCCAGGTAACCCCGTTTCGAGCAACATGAGTTTATATGCAGAGCTGGGGTGCCAGAAATGGAACAAAAGAGCTGGTCCGTGTATCAAGTGACCGTATTCAGAACAAAAGACCTGCTGCTGGGAATTGTAATCATTTTTCGGCTGGTAATCCGTCACTATTTTTAAACAGTATACCACTGTTTTGGGTATAGAAAGCCCGCGGATTAGCACCGTGGACAAAAGTGCTCCAGGGCCCCACTGATGAGCGACACACAACCGCTGCATGCTAATCCAGCCGCGTTTGCAAAGACGCCACTCGTATTCACTAGGGACACAGGAAATTATGCAACACCTCACAATTCTGGGCTTCGTTTACAGGGCGGCAGGCCTGGTTGAAATATTTAGGAGTCAATGAAGTTTATCTGTCAGCTTAGAGTAGCCCCCAAAGAGTCATTCGTGTGGGTATAAATGTCCATTAAATGAAATGATGAATTTTTGAAGAATTTTGAAAACTCAAAATCTTAAAAATCGCCTGTATGTGTGCACTGCATATTTAAAAGCACCCAGCAGCATGCGGTTAATAGCAAGAAACTCAACTTACCAGCAATGTCCCACAACTGCAGGCGTATGAGTGTGTCGGCATCCCAATTGATGACTTTCAGGGCAAAGTCAACCCCGATCTGCAGTTCTCCAAGGTTAAGGCAAACACATCTGGAAAATTCATTCCATGAAATGTGGAATGCAGTCACTGAACCAGTCATGTGATACAAACGGCACAAATGTTCAGAACTTACGAAATTGACCAGACTTTTCTTTTTATGGAATTGAAATGCTTTGCACTTGCAGCTGGCGGGCAGATTTTTCTCTTCTAATTTCAGATGTTTTCCCCACTACTTTTTATTTTTCAACAGGTGGTAGACATGTACGGTACAGGTACATGCTCATGCAGCGGCATCAAATGTTGTGTCAGTGAGGGTTTCTAGTCATTACTCAGCACTTACATCATGAAAACACTAAGCAAGTTACATGAACAAGTGCATTTCACAGACCAACCATATCACTTGGAAAGAGTCACATGTTTGCATTTCCATAAGAGTGGATAGTAAATTAGGGTTGTATCATATGGGCTAGCAACCCAACCCAACTCAGCCTCATCAAACTCAACCCAAGCCAATTTCACCCAACTGCATCCCATCCAACCCAAACTCACCAAAAACCCAACCAAAGTGGAAAACACATGTACATGTTACCGTATATGTGCATGTACATGTATGTCTTGAATAACATGAACTAGAAATACAGTATCAACACCAGGGTTGTGCAGCGGAACCACTTTACCTTCATGTACATGTATATCAGTATGTACATGTACATGTAGTCTTGGTTCCAAAACCCTCCTGGGTTTTTCTTCTTTTCTCCCTAGTTGACAAAGCAAATGCTATTGTTCATTTCCATAATGCAGGTGCTTTGCTAACAGGTATCAATTCCTTTGGATTTGTATTTCAATTCTGTACTCTGCCCCCTGAATTGAACAAATATGTTGAAGTGCAGATTATACATGCGCAAACAACGCGAATAAGGTTGTTATTAACATCTTGGTTCGAGATGTACAGTTTCATGTACATGGAAGTGACTTCGCATGCAGCTTGTTGACCTACACAGGTTTTGCATGGCAGCCATCTTTCTGATGACGGTTTTTGATACAGAGGTACAGCACAAAAGTTCTACTCACGTGTAACATTGTCAAGCTCTCACCCAAAAGATTGTTGCCATGCACAACCTCTATACAGTACAGTACAAATTACAACGATGCTGGATTTAGACCTGGTTAACAAAGCCACCAGGCAAAAATGCTCCACGAGTTGGGCAGATTTTTCAATTTTAAGGATACCGTGGCCCTGTAGTGCTGTGAGAAGAACTGGTGGACGTATCTCTTAATGACGCTGGTCTTACCCACGCCGAGATCTCCTATGACTAACACCTTGTACAGGTGTTCTCTCTTCTCTCCTGTAGCAGACTGGTGTGGGGTAAGAGGGGTTGCGAGAACAAAAATGTTAGGGATATACATGTACATGTACGATGACCACTTGTGTTAAAGGGTACAGAAATACTGTCGAAAATATTTAGTTTACCAGAAAATATATGCATTTTAAAATAACAATAAATACGTAACAATTTCAAAAAATATAATGTTTACCCCATTAATTGTAACCCCAAAATGAATAAAAAGATCCTACATGTACGTTTCCCCGCCCACCAAAAATCCCCTTTTAGCCATTCGCACTAACAGGCTGGTTGGATGACGTCATCGTGAGAAGGCTGACACGCACAGTGTACCGGTACATGTACATTGCACACAGTTAATGCAGAATCGCACTCTTCAATAGACCATGTTGTGTTTGATGTACATGTAGCTTGGCCCACAGGCAGACACATTCTCAGTTCAAGAAATACACGATAGGACTGTGTCTTAATTATACCGGTAATCTTTACCTTGAGACAGTGTTTGCCTGTGGGCCAAGCTACCGTACATGTACACTGTACTTCAACACAACGTGGTCTATTGAATCGTGCGTATGTACACGTTCAGTACATTGTACCGGTACATGTCAGCGTTCTGGCAATGACGTTATCCAACATGTCCAATCAGCCTGGGAGTGCGTGCGGCAAAAAGGCAATTTTTGGGGGCGGGGATATGCAGATCTTTTTACTCCTTTTGGGGTCACAATTAATGGAGTAAACATTAAATTTACAATTTTTTAAAGTTCTCAAACTGACCAGGGATAACTTTTACAGTGTATTTCACAGTGATCAAAACAGATTCAACAAGAAATGAGTAACGACGACAAGGACGATACCAACAACAATGCAATCTGTTTATTTTCTCTCACAAATACTGGTACTTAGGAACATTATGTGCTTAAACGACTTTGACCTTCTCTTTTTAATCACAGACAGGATGTACTTGAAAATGCTTTAAGTAAATTATTAAAATTGCTTAAAAATGTCTAGATACATGGACATGTACTGTAAATTGCCAAATCAAAATGTACACATGTACCGGTTCATGTACATGCATACTGTACCTGCCATGTCTCACACATTAGGTGTGTGGCACACGTACATGTATTTTGACCAAATCTCATGCTCACACGCATCAAGCTCAAAATCTCCACATTCTGCAAATGATGATTATAGTTCACAAAATCTCACGCAGATTGGACAGCAAGCTTCGGTCGCGTGCATCAAGTTGCTTTCTATACACTGTACTGCACGTGCGCACTGCACTATATTACAGTATTAGCCTTCAATCAAGGCTCACCTGGACAAATAGCGCACACATGAGGAAGACAGGCTGTGCAGAGCTAGAGCGAGTGGCAAAGCTCGTGAATTGTGTGCATCCTGAGTACACGTGTGGAGCTAGTCACCATGTGCCTTGACTAACGACTAAACACTACTGATGACTTACGCCACATGTAGGCTGTCTCCGAAACCGGCTTCTAGTAGTGTCTAGAGCTTCAGCTAGGTCTATTTTCTTGGCGTCACCACGTAGAGCGATGACGTAGACCATTAACTTTCATTTGGTTTTGATCATGACGTCACCATGAATATTTTATTCAAATTATGACATCACGATCGAAGACCTAGACCATTAACTTTCATTTAGTTTTGATGACATCACTGTCAATTGTCCCAACTGTACTTTCTTAACTGCTTAAATAAGAAAAGTTGGTAACATAAATGCTGAAGTCAACTTTATTTGAGACTTACAGTTTGTGCCTGCTTCTCCATCATCAAGAATTCAATGTACATGTACATGTACATGTATAGTACATACATGTATACTATAGAATAGATTAGTGGGTATTGTGCTGAGCTGAATAGCCCTGAATACCTCACTCCAACTCACCAGCCTGGAGAGCCTGATCTTTGTAATTGGAATGTTGAGCTCTGAGGCGTTCTTTTATTGTACTTTAATTGGATCTTATAGAATGGGGGCCAATACTTATTGTGCAGATAGTGGGTATATACATGTAAGACTTAGAATGCCCAGTTTCGGCAGAGTGCCACATTGACACAGTGGGGAGTGGTGGTGTTTGGACACCCCGACTGTGGTGAATCTGATGCCCACAGACAACCGTACAGTGCTCTTCTCGAACAGCTACATGTACATGTAGCTACCGTAGGAGTTATCCCCGTCATCTGTGACATTTGGGGGCCTGTCCAGGAAACTTTTTTAATCCCATCCATTTAAAAGGGAAGATGGTTGGTTCAGAATCGTGCATAGCTTGATACTGATGGCAACTTTGTCACACTTTTGATTTCTAACACGCAGCTTTTTCAGGATTGGGCTTAGCTCAGATTTCCGGAAGGCAATTCCATCTA